CTTCCACATGACGTTATCCTCACTGCACTCAGGCTCTTAGCCGCCCAGGTAGGGCTACTCACATGTATAAATGCCCTCTTTGTTCTGTTTCGTTTCTGATTCTCCATGTGGGATACATACACAGATGGACACACACACACACACGTTCAGGCTCTGACAATCATGTCAAGCACCCCCTCTTTCATGGATGTCCTCCTCATGCCTCTTAGGCTCTGACACTGCCCGTTAAGCTACCCCCACAGCTGGGTGTAGTGGCTGTACCTATAATTCTAGCACTGTGGGAAATGAGAGGGAAAGGATCATTTGAGGCCTGGGCAACATAGCCAGATCCCATTACTTAAAAAAAAAAAATTTTTTTTTATTAGCCACATGTAGTGGCATGTGTCTATAGTCCCACATACTCAGAAGCCTATGTTGGGAAGCTCACAGGAGCCCAGGAATTCTAGACTGTAGTGAGCTATAATTGTACCACTGCACTCCAGCCTGGGAAAAGAGAGAGATTCTGTCTCTGAAAAAAAAAAAAAAAAAAAGCTGCCTCCATGCATGGACTCCTTCCTCATACCAACCCAGAAGACAGCCACACCAGGTCTTCTTCCCTGTGGGAATGCCCTTCTCACTTAGCTCAGGCTTTTATATGCCACACTAGCCTAGCAGCCTACATGGACCGTGGGCTCCAGCACCTCACAGCAGGCTTTCCCTGTGTGAACACCCTCTTCACTCCACTCAGGCTGCCATCCTAGCTGGGACACTCCCATGCACAACCTCACTCTTCATTCACTTGAGCTGTGACATCCCACATCAAACAGCCCCTGCGTGAATGCCTATCTTGCTCTGTTCCATATCATGGCTTTAGGATTGAATTATTCAGCAAGGGGTGGGAAGAGCTCAGAAAATAAGGTACACACCAGGGGTACCTTATTTTGCCATGTATAATGTGATCCTGTGCATAATGCACATCCACGATTTTGACCCAAACTTTCAGGAAAACACCCACAGAGAAAGTGGCTGGCTCTCAGCTGGGAGAGATCTATCTGGGGAGGGCTAATGCTCCTCTGGTAAATGTGCAGAATATACAACCACCCCGCTCCCCCAACAGCCGCCTGCTCTGTGAAGGCTGCTCTTTTCCTCTCTCCTGGGAACCTTTCCTCCCTGCCACATCAAGAACCATGGCCAAGATGGCCACATGTATAGCCAGTGGGGTAGGAGCTTCTTCTGAGGCCACTCAGCCACAGGCAGCCAGGCAGGCCTCTGGGGCCTACATGGGCCTTGGCCCTTGACCTGCATGGCCACAGACCACCTTGCCAGCCCCATCACCACGCCCTCCCCTGATCACGGTGCTCAGGGCCACTCCAGCCAACTCCCATCAGATTCTGGATCCTCCTGGACTAGAACCCCGTGCACCTAGTGGGCCCAGGGAGGAGGCACAGAGCTCCACAGTATTTTTTTCATGAATTTTTGGTTTTAGTAAATGCACGCAATATAGGTATGCATTGGACCATGATGTAAAATGTATTTCTTACTATAGGTCTCAGTCAAAAAAGTTGTTAAGCTACTGCCCTAGAAAGATTTTAGAACGACAGTGCTATTGCCTGTGGCCCAGGTGATGCCTCATTGTACTCTGGACTGCTCAGGAGTTCCCCTGTTGCCTGTGTGAAGACCCTATCCAAAAGGACATTGCTTTCATGGCAACACAGATCCAATTCAGTGGGCTACCCAAAGTCACAGACCTTCATTTTAGCTCTGCCTCAACCACTTACTAGCCAAGTAATAGTTTACATTAAAAACATAGATAATATGGGATGTACATCTCTCCTAAGGCATAAATTCAGGTAGTATATGAAAAGTGCTCTGAAAACTTCAACGAGTAATCATTACAATAACTGATGTTGAAGGAATGTATATACACACACACAAATGTACATATGTACAGGCAATATTATTTTGAGTTCTTAAATAACCCTGTGAATTGCACATTTAACAGATGCAGGTTTAAAAAGCTTAAGGTTAGATGGATGAACCCATATTTGAACTCAGGTCTGGTAGATCTCACTCTCACAACCATTAAATAGCACTTTTTAAATGTATGAAGAAAAGGCCAGGCGCAGTGGCTCATGCCTGTAATCCTAGCACTCTGGGAGACTGACACGAGTGGATTGCCTGAGCTCAAGAGTTTAAAAACCAACCTGAGCAAGAACAAGTCTCCAGCTCTAAAAATAGCTGGGTGTTGTGGCTGGTGCCTATAGTCTCAGCTACTGAGGAAGTTGAGGCAAGAGGATCACTTGAGCCCAGGAATTTGAGGTTGTTATGAGCTATGATGCCACAACATACTACTGAGGGCAAGAAGGTGAGACTCTGTCTCAAAAAAAAAAAAGTGTGAAGAAAAAATTTTAGTACATTAGAAATTAAGAATCATTCTTGCTATGTTATGAAGTTAGAATTATTTGTATAATTGCATCTTTTTGCCTTTTCTCCTTAAATATCATAATTCTTAAAAGTTTTTAGTCCTTTGGGCTTATTTCCTCTTCTATGCAAATACAGCTGAAATGCAAGAACTTCAAATTAAATGTCAATAGTGGCACCTGGTATAATAATCTCCTCAGCTGTAAAAGATAAAGCCTTCGCTTGGGGTAGGTGATGAATAAATATGCTGAACAAAGGAGGGCATGGTTAGGTCCACAACTCTGGCAGAACTAGCTGGGTGTGGTGGTGTGCACCGGTAGTACCAGCTACTCGGGAGGCTGAGGCAGGAGGATCACTGAAGGCCAGGAGTTTGAGAGCCCAGGAGTTTAAAGCTGCAGAGAGCTATAATGATGCCACTGCACTCCAGCCTGGATGACAGAGTGAGATGCTGTCTGTGATGAAAAAATAAATACCATGTTGAGTAGTTAGGTTAAAAAAAATTAAACTAATAAATAAGAACTCCAGCAGATGCGGGGAGAACAGGAGGAGGGAAGTAGCTAGGGAGTAACATCCTCAGCCCCCCTCTGGAGGGGCTGCTGGAGAGGGCAGACCTCAGGGAGGGTCATCTTGGCGTTTTCTAGGACTACCCATGCTCCTGCTGGAAGGATGGACAGGCTGTGGAAAACAGAGGGGATGGGCAGGGGCTGTGGGGCTTGGGGCTAGACAAGAGAAAAAGGTCAGGGTTCTGAATTCAAGGGGCTGCCGTTGTGGGCATTACTCACTTCTCACTCCCATTTCTTGCAGATATGGCCAATCTGGGTTTTGTTGGGGCAGAGGGTGGGTATGTTAAGGCCCTAGGCAGGGTGCCCTGCCCTCAACTCTCTTGAAGCCACTGACTTGGCCAAAAAATGAGGGGTACAGAAGTCAGGACCAAGAATCCAGAAGAGATGATCTCCTTCCTATGCTAGTTCTTAGAGACATACAGTCACCACTCTCTCCTTCTGTGGCTTGAGCTTAAATCTTCCACTTCTGGTTTACATAGATGTTCTTGGTTTCTGTTGCCTAAATTAAGAAGAGCTTGCCCAAGAGGCAGCTCTACCAGGGCACCTGAACCAGGAAACAAATAAAGCTTGTATTTGAAAGGACCATTTTTTCAATTACATTCCTGAAGAACCTGCAAAGGAAAAAAATGAATCTTTTCTAAATAACTACAGGCTTGTCTGCCCATAGCTAGAATTTTATTTTATTTATTTATTCTTTTGAGACAGAGTTTCACTATGTCACCCTTGGCAGAGTGTCACGGTGTCACAGCTCACAGCAACCTCCAACTCTTGGGCTTAAGCGATTCTCTTACCTCAGCCTCCCAAGTAGCTGGGACTATAGGTGCCCACTGCGATAACCAGCTATTTTTTATTTTTTTGTTATAGTTGTCATTGTTGTTTAGCAGGCCTGGGCCAGGTTTGAACCTGCCAGCCCTGGTGTATGTGGCCGGCACCCTAATCACTGAGCTATGGTCACCAAACTCATCATTAGAATTTTAATCCTCAAGGCCAATCAAGATATATCTGAGTGCTGGGACTACAAGTCTAATTTCTGCATCTGTCCTCTCACATAGACTAACTTCTAATTGAGCCCTGGGGATATTGTTTTCCCCAATTCTCCCTGGAGTCCTACCCAGGTACATATGAAATGTGGTAGCTTCACTGGACATAAATCTGGCCTGCCAAGGTAACTTTCCAAGCCTAGAGCTGATGGCCATGATACCTAAAGTCCATACTGAAAAGGAATTTTTATGTTCAAAACAACAGGCCTTTATGAGCACTGTGGACCAGAACACATCCAGGGCAGTAGATCTAAGGCACATGAGGAGCCAAGTAGGTAGTATAAATGAGGTCTGAGCAGGCTGGGAGTGACTGGTGTGTGGTTCTGGCACCATAAGCCCTGTTCCTCTACTGGGCTGGCCAGGGTAGCACGGGAAAAAGGGCAGAAGGGGTGACTCAGCACATTTGGGTGGAGGTTAAAAAGGAGACACAGAATGTCCCAGTCATGAACTAATGGGATATGGGAGAACCACACTGGATTGTGGCTGGGAGCCATGAGGAGGCCTCAACCCAGGCTGGACTCTCAGGTCTGCCTGAGACCAAGTCTCTCCTGAGGGACTCTGGAGAGCTTATGCAATACTGCTCTGGGCAGCTAGACAGGGCCAGCTGGGGTAGAGACCAGGTGTGGGAGGCCACAAGCAGTGTCTTCACAGGACAATAATAATCTAACAAAAATCTAATGTTGTGTTTCTAAAATCAAATAGCAGCGTTCTTCCTCAGCCTCAAAAGTGAAAATCTCAGAGCAACAGAGACTGTTCTGGCAAAGGATAAATGGGGCCACAGAGTGGCCAGACTAAACCACAAAGATGACAAGCCTCAGAGGGAGAAAGTGTATATCTTCCACCACGGAGAGCACAATGCTGTTGAAGCCACAGCACTAGAACCCTTTGTCCCTCCTCAGCAGGGGAAGATGATCTATGCATGTGAGGTAGCTCTTTTCCTCTCAAGGGCATGGGGAAGGGTAGACAACAGCAGCTCGAGACAGGACAGGAGCCTGGATTCCAGGTTCAGTGGCAGATTTTATTCCCTAGGAACAAAGATACACAGGGAAGAAACTCTAAATGGAAACAGGGGCATGGGTGAAAGAATGACACCAGGATGGCCTGCTTCCGAAGTCAGGTAGATGGCTGCTCCACAGTGGATCCGGTCGTGGCCCTAGTTTTTTGGATCTAACTTGCCCTGTTTTGTCCATCTCAAAGGTGGATAATGGAGGCAATACCTACTCTACGCAAAGGAGATGGAGGTACCTATCTATTCCCAGAGACCCAAGGACACCAAAACCTCCCTCTCAAGAACAGAGGTAGACAGATAAGAATGAGAGGGGCTTAGGTGTCACAGATAACCTGAAAGTAATCACAGGGGCCCCCGTGACTGGTAGAATTGGTAATGAGATGAGACTGCAAGGGAACTAACAGTTGACCAAAGCAGCTTTGAGTTTTGTGGTGGAGATAATCTTGCCAAATTAGGCCCTAAATGGGCTCCATCAAGCGGATTCACTTCTGTCCCTACTTCTGCCACAATCCTGCCCCCTGCAAGTTTGGTCCTTTACAAATTGTCAAAGAACAAAGAGAAACATGCTCAAGATGCAGCTTCTACTGCAGATGAGAACCTCTAAGAATAAAGTCCTTTGGTGTGGCCCTGGTCATCCAGCCCGTCTCTGCAGAACACATCAAGTGATTTATCCCTGTACTACAGGGTGGCCTCTGGCTGCTGCGTGAGGACAGTGAGGACAGAGGTTGGAATCCTGAGTCCACTTCATAGGGAAGTCTCCTGGAGGATGAAGGTGGGGCTGCTTCCCTGGTAAGCCAAACTGTTTGGCACTTCTGCCTCCTTGTCTCTGCTGTCCTTCAGCACACCATTCCCCATCTTTTCTGGAAACAGGTTGGTGTCCACAGGGAGGTCCTGGAGGACATATATAGCAAAGGTGATAGAGCTACTAAATATGGGCACGAAGTGGTAAAGGGATTCATTCAGAAAAAGTCCCTGCGAGAGAGAGCCAAGCAAGGCTGGGTGGGGAAGGAACAAAGCACAGGGGGCGCTTGAAGAGGACTGGGAGGGAAAAGGACTATAGGCCTAGCTCTGCTCCTACCTCCAAGCCAGCATGGCCCTGGGGTAGGAGCTGGGACAGCTGCTGTGGGACAGTCCATATTCAACAGCTCCTCAGAGAGAGGAGCCGTAGAAGTGGGGATGGAAAGGGATGAAAGGGAACCTGGGTGGTTGGGTGGCATCTTGTGAAGGAAGGGCAGGGGAACATCTGGACAGCAGGTACTACCTGGGTGTAACTTCTCCAGTGAAGCCGCTTCTGACAGGACAAGGGCAGGAGGGCTAGGAGTCTTGGCAGCACTGGGTAAATGGTCCCAGGGCTCAGGGGCCGGCCCCGCATTCCTCCTGAAGACAAAGATCCTTCTAAGACTCCTATGTGGAACTGTCCAGAACAGCAAGCCCACTATTCTCCCTCTGGGGCCTGGAGGGCCAACCCTCTCCCATCTCTTACATCTCAACAAGAAGGATCATGGGCACTTGAAGACTCAGCGGGCAGGGACCCCTCTCCCAGCAGACTGCAGAGTGCCCAGGGGATCTCCCTAGGCCCAGTAATCCCACGCCCTTACCAGTGAGCAGACTGACAGTCAGGCCCACGACAATGACTGTGGTGGAGTTGTGAGCACTGTACCACAGATAGGACAGAGAGTAGAGCCGCTGCAGCCCTGTGGGCCTGGGGAGAGCAGTGAGAGGAGGACAGTTAGTTACTAATTCCTGGAAAGGGTGTCCCTCTGGCACCTAGCTCTACCCATGTGCATGGTCCCACGGTCTTGGGACCCAATACCCAACATCACCCTGAGGCCTCTGGTGGCCACACCTTAGCAAGGGCCCTATGAAATCCCTCAAAGATGAGCTCCTATCCCCAAGGAGAAAGACAGCAAGCCCCGCCTCACTTGGGGAGAGTAGTTGAAGGTATCAGTGTGGTCACTGTGGCAGCAGTCAGATTGCTGGGCAGGGAGAAACTGGATCCATTAGGGGGAGAGGGAGCCACAACGGAGCCCATGCTGTTCACTATGCTCCCGATGCCAATCCAGAAGGCCATGATGAGTCCAGCCAACAGCCCCACGATGGCACCCTGCCCAGAGACAGGGCATAATTCCTGATACAAGGCCAGACCTCTCAACCTTCACATTGTCCCCAGTGTGAGAGCCTTGCCAATCCATTCCCCGGGCCATCCCACTGCACATGACTAGGGAGCCAAATGTATTACTCACAGGAGGGTTGGCACTGGGAAAGAAAATCCCAAGACAGAAGAGTCCAAGCAGTGGCCCCCCAACCATGCCGAAGATGCTAATTGCTGCCTGGGAGGACAGGGTTGAAGGAGAAAAAAAAGAACACACAGGCTCAGAGACCCCAGCCTTATGGCAGAACAGCCACCCAACATTGCCTTGAGGCCACTTGTCAGCTCTGTCTCTTCTACCTAGAACAACAGTAGTCTAAATCCAAAGGAGTAGGATAACTAAGAGAATGTGCTTTGAGTTTGTCTCTGAGGCTGATCCTTAGATCTCTCCGGGCCTAGACATCCCAGGAATGACCCTAGGGCTTTTAGCTACTTGACAGTCTGTTCATAGTGATAGACTGTCCATCAAAGTGACATTTCTGACATATGCTCCTCTGCTCAAAATGGCTGCTTTCCTCAATTTCCTGTTTTAATCAATTCCTTTCCTCCCTTAAAAATTGTTTCTTCCCTCCATAGTCATTTTTTTTTTTTTTTGAGACAGAGTCTCACTATGTCACCCTGGGTAGAGTACCGTGGAGTCACAGCTCACAGCAACCTCAAACTCTTGGGCTTAAGCGATTCTCTTGTCTCAGCCTCCCAAGTAGCTGGGACTATAGGCGCCCGCCACAATGCCTGGCTATATTTTTTTGTTGCAGTTGTGGTTGTTTAGCTGGCCTAGGCTGGGTTTGAACCTGCCAGCCTCGGTGTATATGACCAGCACCCTACCCACTGAGCTACAGGCGCTGCCTCCCTCCGTAGTCATTACCTGCAGCACAGGTCCCATCTGGGAAGAAATATAGGCCATTCCCAGACAAAGCAGCCCGTAGCCAAATGCTTGGAGAAAAAGAGAAGAGAGGAAAGAAACAGATGTGAGTTAACACAAGAAAAAGTGTACTCCCTGCCCAGCCAAACTGCCACTTCTGTGTCCCTAGAAACAAAGGGTACACTACCTCACGCCATGTCATAGCTCCAGATCCCTCCCACCAAGTTCTCACTCCTACATCACTTTAAGCCCTCCCCGGATCTCTGTGAGATGCCAACAACCATGAAGCGAAGGTTGTGTTTCACTAAGCAAGCACTAAGCTCAGGATAAAGCAGGTGTTTCCTAGCAACTAAGGATAGTCATCAGGGTGTAACTGAGAAAGAACCAGACTAAAGAGAAGAGGAAGCATAATCTCACCGAGGCTTCTGGACAGCATGATGGCCCGGGCTTCAGAGAACTCAGGGAACCAGGGCCGAATCAGGTCTTCCATTGTTACAGTTGCCAATGAATTAAAAGCAGAGGATATGGTGCTGAAAAGAAGGAAGAGGAGGAGGAGCTGTGATGAGACTGGAAGCAGAGCCTGAATGGTGGAGAGAGGACCTGCACGGCCAAAAACCCCACAGTGGGAGCAGAGACCACCTCAAAGGGGGCCTGGAGGCAAGGATACTGTCCTTTCCTGAGTGTGGGTACAGGTTTTGTTCAAATATTATAAAAGAAAAACCCTTAATCAAAACATGGACATCTCATGGGAGATGTGCTGTGCCCTACAGAGGAGCTGTCCCTTGTCACACACAATGGATGGGCACAGTGAGAAACTCAGAGGGATCCCCTCCTCCACTTGTCACCTTATACCAAGTAGGGGTCACGTGTATCAAGCCTGAGGAAAATGGTCGAAGGAGGTACCTGAGGGAGCCACTGAAGAGGCAGGCAACAAAGAGCCCGGGCAGGCCAGGCATGCCTTTCAGGAGATCCATCACGAAATACAGGACGAACTGCAAGCAGAGCAGAAGCCCAGAGCTGTCCTCAGAGGGCAAGCCTTGCCCAGGGCAAGCCAAGCAGGGAGGCTCCCTCTGTGTGTGCACATGCCAGTACTGAGACTGGTGCACCAGGAAGGGGAGCTAGGCACTGAGGTATCTCTGCTGACCCAACTGACACCACAGTAAGCAGAGAGAAAATGGGCTCTGGTGAGAATATGACACAGTTCATACCCCAGACAGCAGTGTGACTCCCCACTCTGGTTGCCTCACTGGGCCTGTTTTCTCCTCTGTGAAACAAGACTGGAGGCTTAAGAGAGACCAGGTATGTGACAGCTCCCAGCAAAGCATGTAGTACACAGCATGGCATCAGTCAAGGTAGGCCCCACGCTAGCAGTGTAAGCACTATGACTGGTGATGTTAGACTCTTGGTATCTCAGAGCAGGAAAGGATTTTGCCCCAGGAATAACCCTTGGGGTGTTAGCCACTCGAGTCTGTTCACAGTAAAGGTGGTTCGTCAATGAAAAATTTCTGATACCTGCCCCCTCTGTCATTCCCTTCAAAATAGCTGCCTTCCTCAATTTACTGTTGTAATCAATTTCTTTCCTCCCTTGAAAATTGCTCTGCCTGTACTCTGGGAGGCCAAGGCAGGAGGATTACTTGAGCTCAGGAATTGGAAACCAGCCTGAGCAAGAGTAAGACCCATCTCTACTAAAAATAGAAAAATTAGCCAGTCTCAGTGAGGCAGCCAGAGTATGAGTCACACTGCTACTGGGTGGAAGGCGGGGAGGGGAGGATGAACTGGGTCATTCATCAGAGCCCAGGGTGAAAGTCCTTTCTGTAGTCCATGGACACTCCTCCTGGGGGGCCAGTGTGGCACTTCACAGGCCTAGTAGGGAGCCAGGGAGGCCTTCTTACCTGGTCGGGGGCTGCATGAGACTGCTGGGTACTCATGGGATACTCCTGGTAATAGGCAAACATGACCAGGCCAATGAGGCAGCCCATGCAGAGGACCACCTGCTGGCAGGGGAATACCGCATAACAGGACCTGCAAAAGAGACCAGTTCTAAGGGGAGAGATGGTATTCACAGACACCCTCAGCAATACCCCAACCCCAACAGAGGTGTGTGCGCTTTGGCATCCTGCCTCACCCCAATTACCTCCAGGGAACACCTCCCCCAGCCCTTGCTCAATATCTCCTGTCGCTGTACTCACAGCACAGCAGCCTTCTCCGTGCGGGAACTGAGATAGCGCTGCACCTGGGCCTGGTTCACCCCATACAAGGACAGCATCATGAAGACACCCCCAAAGGCCAAGGTCCAGAAGGTATGCCGCACAAAGGGATCCGGATCCAGCCTGTAACAGACATTATTTGGTTATGATGCCATAGCCCCAGACAGAGACACGGTCATCCTATCCTCCTAGCCCACATGGGTTGGAGGACATCAGAGCAGAGACATTACTGCCAGGGCCAAGGGCAAGAAGCTGGGTGCACTCAAGAGACAGTGCAGCAAGTTAGAGGGAGGGTTGTACTTCGATCCCAGCCACATTCCAGGTATTCATCCCAGGTAATGTCCTGATCCCTCTTAACACCAGATTGGCACTGACAATCATCCTCCATCTCTGCAAGGCCAGCTTCCCACTGCCTAGTCTTGCACCTGAGGCTTCCCAGCCTACCCTCTGCTTACTACAGTCCCAGGACCAGGCCGTAGGATGAGCAAGCTCTCAGGTACCGCAGCCCCCCAGCCAGGTGAAGGGGTTTACTTACTCGATCCCAGAGATGCGGCCATGTTGGGATGCTACGGCCCACACACGCCCCAAGCCGCCCACCTTGGCTGACCCCACGATGATAACTGTTAACTGCCCTAGGAACATGATTAGTGTCTGGAAGACATCTGTCCAGATGACGGCCTTCAACCCACCCTGCAGGGAAAGGACAGCACACACACCACAGAGGTCTCTCTAAACCATCCACTGTAAGGACACAGTACCTTTAGCAAGAAGACTATGCTGCCATCATATGTCAACCTTGCTCCTAAACCCCACCCTAAATCTCATCTCATCTTATCCCACCCTAGAATTTCATTCCATCTCACCTCCTAGATGTGTATCTCATCCTTTTTCCCTCTCCTCCCCCTTCTCCTCCTTACTTCATCCCCTCTCCTCCATCTCCTAGAGCTTTCTGCACTTACCAGAGCAGTATAGACAGTACAGACAATGCCCAGGGTCAGCACTGACAGCCACAGATCAAAGCCAGTCACTGTAAACAGATAAAAGTCATATTCCTATCCCTGGAAGAGGGTTTCCCAGGGAGAAGCCCCAGTAGGGCAGCCAGGTCATATCACAGAGATGTAGCATTTGGTCATTAACAACTAAATAAATCATCCAACACAATGGAAAAAAAAAAGATTGCAGAGCTCTACCAAAAGATGTTGACCGACCAACTCAGATGAGGCATGGTGATGTCTTATTAGCTTTTAAGTGATATGAACTATCCAAGGGCCCATGAAGTGAACTAATTCCCTGTCCAAGGTCAGGTTCACTTCTGCACTCTTCTCTATCTGCCTCAAACGTGCTTGAAGCCAGGGGCCATGACTCCTCACCTGCATTGAGAGCCAATGATGGTGCATAAAGCACAACCCCCATGTAGATCACCTGTCAAATGTAGAAAAGAGAATGAGATGGAGAGAGAAGAAAGATGGACCTCAGCCTTTAGCTTCCCCTCACCTGGGCTCATTTCCCTCTTCTTTTTCCTCCCAAATTCTAGCTTGCTGCCACCATGGTATCTGTGCTGGAATTGGAAAGAGCAGACAAGTAGAATGCTTCTGGATGCTAACCCTAAAAGGAATCCTGCCCATCCGAGGACAAGGAAGGCTCCAACTCTCTCAGCATGCTCAAATTTGGGTTCCCCTACCATGCCCTAGGCTCTATTTCTTTGCTTGTTTTTTCCCTTTCAAATCTACCCCTGCTCAACGTCTATCCTCATTCTACTTACCATCTGAAAGATGAAGGTCATAGTTCCACAAACCCGCACGGTTTTACTGAATCGGAGCTCCAGGTACTGGGTACACAGAAAAAAGGTATTCCTCCTGTCTCTACTCCCATGACTCACAAACAACTTCCCTCAAGAGGCTCAGGAAGATTCAGGAATATACAACATGCACCCACTCTGAGCCACATTCAGCACAGCACTCTCCTTCTTTCCTCACTCCTATCCCCCAACCCCAACCTCACCCAGAAAGCACTATTAACACTAGGTAAGTTTCTGTTACTGTCATTAGACAGGGGAGATCCAGGATCCCAGAACCTTCATATATATTCTGTTCCTCTTCTGCGTCCCTGACCCTAATGGCCCCATGTGCTCCTCCATGCTCACCTCATAAGCGCTGGTGAGATGCAGGCGGTAGAAGACAGGGATGAAGATGTGTGCAGGAATCAGCAGTCCCAGGAAATAGGAGCAGCCCAGGAACCAGTACTGGGTCCCAAATCGGTAGATCTCAGATGGCACACCCAAGATGGCCACGGCTGACTGGAAGGTGGCCAGCAGGGACAGCGCCACAGGAAGGCAGCCCATTTTGCGGTCTGCCATCAGCAGCTGGCCAACAGTATGCTTGCCCCAGCCACGACAAGCATGGTAGAGCCCAATGGCAAGGGAAAGAACTAGTAGCAGGATGAACACCACATAGTCCACAAGGGAGAAGGTGGATGTGACCACATTTGTGTCTGAGGTTGGGGGCAGGGGTGCTGACGTGCTTACCCCTACACTCATCCTCACTGTGTCTGCAATCCGCAGCCACTTGCTGCTCCTGGGCTCTGGACTGCCACTCAGCTGAGAAGTGGTGAGCAAGTGGCTACAACCTGGTTCTCAATCACGGTTTCACAGCCCTCCTTCTCCTCTCCCAAGTGACATTGTCCAGGGTGAGCTGCAAAGGAATCAGCTCCTAGTCAGATCCAGCATGCTTTCATGGCCACCGCCCTCCTAGCCTTATACATCCCAGCCCACTGGGCTTGGACCAGCCAGTGCAGTGGTAGCCCTGGAAGGTCTAGAGCACTGCTATGGGTCTGGGAGGGAAGTTAGATGAGGGGAGAAGTATTAGAACGAGACAGCCAGAAGACAAGAACTTGGCCAAGACCTCTGGTTACACAGAGTTATGATATTCATGAACTTTAGGTCTCCAGCCAAGTAGCAAAAGAAAAGTCAACTCTAGCCAGTTTCTTCTCAGAATAATTCCCTGCTCCCTAATTCAGGCACAGACCCAGTCACTACAATGTACTAAGTCAACAGAGCCCAGCCTGGCGCCACAGCCCAGCAGGGAGGAAGATACAGAGACTAATGGCAGCAGGGCTTCCCCTATTCTCCCTGGCCTCTACACCCCCATGATACCCAGTGTCACTCTCCTAAGTGATCAGCAGTTATACTGCCTCTATGGCAGCCTCAAGTTCCATTCTAGGAATCTCCAGGCCAACCATGCCTCTTTCTTAAGGTTCTCCCCAACACCCCTAGATAAGCCCTATACCCAACTCTCAATCTCTCTACCTGACACACCATAGTCAACAGCAGATGGGGAAGAGCACTGGGACTCAAAGGCAAGAGGGGCAAGGTGAGAGGATACCATGCTGGAGCCAGGGATTCAGAATTATATTCTGGGGCCATTCTGAGAGGAGCAAACCAGCCAGGGAGCTGGGGGGGTGGGAGGGGTGGGGAGGAGAAACAAAGGGACCAGCTTGGAAAAGTGGTCCCATCCTGGATGGCGCCTGTAGCTCAGTGAGTAGAGTGCCAGCCCCATATACCAAGGGTAGCAGGTTCAAACCTGGCCCCAGCCAAACTGCAACAAAAAATAGATAGGTGTTGTGGCGGGTGCCTGTAGTCCCAGCTACTTAGGAGGCTGAGGCAAGAGAATTGCTTAAGCCCAAGAGTTT